TTTGTTACATTCCCCTTGATCATGCCCTACCAGGTCTCCCACACCCACCTCCCCACCAATTTGGATCGCTTGTTGTTCCCTTGTCCCTGGGTTTGTTTGTCCGCAGGGTCTTGACTGAGTTTTGGGAACCTTCCTGGAAGCAGTGTCAATGACCCAGGAGAGGTACCTGCCCGCTGTATGCTCCCTCTGGAATGGATTTCCTCTGGAATGGATTCCTGTAGGCAGATGGAGAGGAGAGCCCTCTGCCCTTTACTCACTGTGAAAAATAACACAGGCACCGTGAGGATGACAGCGACGATGACCGCCAGACGCACGGTCAGCACGAGGATGTCGCCTTTACTCTGGTAGTTGTGCAGGAGGTCTGAATGCACGCTTCCTAAAAGAGGGGGAGGGGGTGGTGAGGTCTGACAATGCAACAGAGCACACGCTGACTGACAGCCCTCCCTCTCCCGGAACAACAAGTTCACAGGCAGAAAGAGCAAGGTCCAGAGTTTCCAAGTGTTCAAGGTAACAATTTATAACGCTGAAAAGGAAAATCCCTGGGGTGAGACAGGCTCTACCATTCGTCCGTAACTCCAGTGAAAAGGCATTTAATCACTAAAAGAAGCAATGGGGGGGGGGGGAATGTATAATTTAGCCAAGGAGTAAATCAGGATTAAAATGTAAGCACGTGGTTAGAAGAACAAAGCCCCTCTTAGACTTTCCCTCGTTTAGTGCTAGTCCTGAAGCGGTCTGCAGTGGGTGAAACTTCTTCCCAAGACTCCTCTGCCCAAGTCTCTGTAACTCTGACTATATGCTTAGGTGGGAGCGTGTAGCCCTAATAAAAGAGGGGATTGGTAAATTTCATTACCACGCTCGTCAGCACCGCTCTGGCTATAAGCATGAACCATCTTTGAAGCAGCAGCAGCAGCAGTGGAAAGAAAGCCCAGCACCCCTTGGGAAGAGCATGGCTGAGCTGTCTGAAGCAGCGGAGGCAAAATGTCCCAGAAACTGAGGAACGGAGACTCAGGGGAGCAGTGCCGAGAATACGGGGTATCCGCTTCCCATCTGGCCCTAGACAATGGAATTGTGGGACAGTGACGGGCCAGCAGGCTTTCTGGAGGGGAGGCAAAAGCCAAGGGATCACATGGCTGACACTGAGGCCTGGACAGAGACTCGACTGCTGGCTGAGGAGTGGCCTTGCTGTGGACCAACGACTGCTTCCTTGCTGTGGGCTGAGCCGGACTTGTGATAAGCCATTAACTTGCTGAATAACCCCCTGAATTGTAAGCTTCGTCTGTGGGTCCTGTGTGGACACTACAAAGAGTTATTGAGTAGCACTGAAAGATGCCGTGGGAGAATGTGCAAAGAAGGCTGGAGTGGGAAGCCACGGCTGAGCCCCTGTTTCAGGGCAGCAGGAAGACGGAGGATGTCAGATATGCCCCCTTCATGACCATTTAGCATAAAGTCTTCCTGGGAGTACTCAGACCACACCGCTGTCCTTCCAAGCTCTCCTCCTATAACCAAATCCCAGGATCCCGGCCACAAAGGCCCTGCACATACCTAACCATCCCCAGAAAGGAATTCTTCTCCTCCGTTTACTTATTACGATTTGATGTATTTATAGAAGTATTTCCTTTTTCTTCTGAAGTGGAGGGCGCCATTCTCACGCCGAGAGCATGAGAATGTGTCATTCTTCTGATGAGCAATCACTCCCCCCTGCCCCCACCCCTGCCCAGGGCTCCTTCCTGCTCAGTGTCCGGCAGAAAGGTCCTGGGCATGGAATTAAAATTCTAATCTGGATGAAAGAGCTTGGCCCCACCGTTTTGAGACATCGAGTCGGTCCCAATACAGCTCCATGAGTTCTGGTTTCGTAGATTCTCAAGTTCTAACCATGCACAAAGTGCAGAGCCCTTTCCCTTGAGCTGAAATAAAAACTCAGCTGCTGCCAGCAAATTCTGGCTTATGGTGGCCCTGTATGTGTCAGAGTAGAACTGGGCTCCGGAGGATTCCAGTGGCTGAATTTCGGGGGGGCTACGTTTCTAGGAATTTCCTCTGTAGCACCGCTACCTGGACTCAAATCTCTCATGTAGCTGAGCGCTTCTCAGTCGGGACTCCCGAAGGATGCGCAACCTCAAGAAAAGGGTTGGGTATTGCCGGTATATTACATCCGGAGGAGAGAAAAGGGTTTTGCTAAGGAAACTCACATTTGGGACAAGTGGCAGTGAGCTTGTTCCACTAACACTGAGCTCCCGATCAACCTGTCTTCGCTCACCCTCAGCCCTGCAGCTCGGCCGGAGCAGCAGGGGCAGCGCGGTCTAGGCAAGAGTTAAATGGCGTGTTTATGTTTGCATTAGAGAACGCTACTCTTCAACGCTTGTGGAGATGATGAGAATATAAGTGTGTAACCAGGCTCGCCTTTCTCTATGGGAAGATTCAGTGACCTTTCAATTTGTCGAAAAATTTGAGACAGTTGTTTGTGAGAAGAATACCCCAAAGAAATAGCTCTAGACAGAGAAGATTAGGGAATGCATGCCTTTAAGCCTGCATGAGATCCCACATCACACCGAGGAGGAGCCACACGAGGCCAAGCTGCCCGGCAGACAAGACATGGACGCGAAGGCAAGCTGCACACCCAGGTCCGTAAAAGGGGCAAATGAAACTGCTCTGACTTCTTTCTCTCTGGTTTTCATCCCTTTTCACGTCCATGGCATTCCTTTGACTCTGCACAGCTCCGGCCTCCAATCAGGCTTTTTATTGTTAATTAACGCGCAGAGTCATGAATGTAGCACCCTGCCCATCTCACTTCCAGCACCGGTCTCTGTCTCCCTTTTCTATTAATAGAACCTGACCCAATTGCAACGTCAATGAGGAAAGCCTCCTCTGATAACAGTTGTCAACGGTCCTCTGTTAAGGTGGCAGGGTTCTAAAATGCAATCTCTTTTAAGGGCATTATTAGGAGGGGAAAACAACAAAGCCACGACATTGCATTAGGTCAGGCATTACTGTCTTCTGCTGTCCACGCGAAGATGGAAAAGAGTCATTATACTCTTTCCTTATGCTGACGACTTATTAGCAATAAATAGCTTTCCTGTGTTCTTTGGCTTTCATTTTAAAAGCTATTTCGATACCACTTTTTACTCATTTATTTAAAAATTATATTCCTGATATTTATGCATTGGCAGAAGTCACTTACCATAGAATGTCAAGTAGCCAAAAATGGCTGTCAAGAAGTACATAGCAAACATGGCGAAAAAGGAGATGTTTGAAACCATCTGCATTTTCTTCTGTGATCGACTGGAAACGAAAGCAGAGGAATTTGAGAAATTAAAAAAGAAAACATCGCATTGCTGAATTTAAGCAATACTTAAATTAAGTGCTAACTAATTTAACTTTCCTTTGACCAGTCAGCGGTTCAAACCTACCAGCAGCTCTCCGGGAGGAAAAGTCTGCTCTCAGAAAGAGTGAGTCTTGGAAACCCTATGTGAGTCAGAACTGACCTGGTGGACGTGGGGATGGGTTTTTGCCTCCTATCCGATTGGGGTAGCTACTAACCGAGTAAGACATATTGGCACGGAATAGCTTCTTTTATATACCAAGTGGATCCTGGCAGAGAGAGCTGCAGAGCTAACAAGGTCGTAAGAGTTTGTTTTTTGTTCTTTTAAAAGAATCTCAAGTTCTCATATGAAGGACAGGGAGTGTTTAAAAATATATTTGTGTCTGATATTATCTTCAGAACTGGGAAAAGGGCAAAATAAATTCAAATGCTATTCTGCAAGCCCAGAGATCTGAGGCAAGGCTTCTATTTCCCTCAGAGGTCCCATCTGTCCACGCCACTCGGTAGGCCCTGGCTTTCCCACCAAGCAGCCCCATGAAAGACCCAGGAAGCCCCTCGGTCTCCACAGCAGGAACTGCTTAAGAGGGACAGTTTGGATGCCTAAAGGCTCCATCTCTTAGGTCAGAGTTGGCTCTGGGTTGGGGTGAACGTGTAAATTTATCTAGCTGCCAGAATAATTCATGTACAAACCTGCACTCAATAACAGACCACAAATAATCCTCACATTGGAAACCTAGGAGAATAATGGGAGTTCGGAAAACCAGAGGCTGAGAAGCGTGAACTTCAGACAATGACAAACTAAAAACGGGACTATTCAACTGAAAAGACATATTTGTATGGCCTTGATAAAGGGCCATCCTATCGCAATGCAGGAATAATGAACATTATTAGACGGTTATTTAGTGTAGACTAGGTAGATAAAACCAAACTCACTGTCGTTGAGTAGGTTAAGGCCCAGCGACCCCATAGGACAGGGTAGAACTGCCCCTGTGGGCTTCTGCCAGTACAACTCCTTATGAGAGTAGAAAGTCATGTCTCTCTCCTGATACTAGGTGGATAGATATAGGTATTTTAAAATGTACAGATATTGGTATTTTAAAATGTAGACAGGTATCAAATATAAAAGGAAATTCAGGGCTGAAGTGACATCAGTGTTCTTTTTGCTTCAAATGGAAACAAAAAAGCTGTCTTTTCTGATTTTAAGACTATGTCCCAAGGACCATCTCAATATAAAAGTTTGTTCACACAAGGCTTGAAACCAAGACATTTGCAAGCAGGCCCTTAGCTTTCTCTAGGAAAACAAATCCATAGAGTCACCTGACATATTGAGAAAGAACAAGACAACAGTGAACTCTTGTTGTACAGGTCATGGCCTCACGACTAACTTTTTTCTGCACCATTGGCCAGCCCTTTCCACCCAATTCATGCATATTAAATTACACACAGTGTACTCAGAGTCTTAGAGACAAATCTGAACAGTATTATTATCCACTTGCAAAATAAGCAGAAAAGCATAAAACAGCACAAATACTCGAACTCTCCTAGCAAACATATGAAAAACGTAATACAAAGAGCCCCCAGGGCTCAGCAAGCTGGCCGCTTTGTATGGGTCAGGCCACAGCAGCCAGGCAACTTCTGACTTTTCTTGCTTTGATTCTTCATGCAGTCTTTGCTCAAGAATAGCAGAATGTTAGTTCCTGCCGAAGCTGGGTGGTCAGTCGGTGGTGTGAATGATACTGGCCTGTTTACTGTAATGCCAGTCTGTTAATATGGGGCTATAGATGGATTAGGATATAAAAATGAAGTAAGTTTCTTACTCTTTCAGCTCACTGTAAATGGGCAGGACGGATGGGTGGCAGACAAAGGCGAACGCAATCGTTGGTAGAGCGTACACAGTCTGTTTAGAAGAAGGAGAAAATGAAACAGGAGCAAAAGGCCGTTTACACCCCCAATATTGTACAGCGGCAGAGCGGTCTCTGGATTCTCTGTTTCATCAGGAAAGTTCTGACCCTGAAATAGGAGTACCCTTCCCAAGAGACGTTACCTAGCACGAGACCCTGGTCACACTAGAACTTCAGCTTCAGCTCCACTGTAAGGTATTTCATAGGTATAGTGACATGCCATAGCCATGTGGCACCAGCTCTGACTGCACACACGGGTTGACCGACCACAAGCAACAACAAAAACCCAGCTATGTAGCACTTGACTCCCTCTGACAGGTGGTGGTGGGGAGCCGGGATGGGCTTGCCCAGGACTCAATATTCAACTTGAAGGGCATCAAGTCAGACTGAGAAGATGGCATTTCAAAAGCAAAGGATCTTCACACTCACAAACTTTGGCTATAGTCTTGGTGTTGAAATGGAGAGGGAGTGAAAGATGGACCTATTTAAGTTTTCTGAGCGGCACAAAACCAAACTCACTGCCATTGAGTCCATTCTGTCTCAGAGCGACTCTCTGAGACAGAACAGGCCTGCCTCTGTGGGTTTCTTAGGCAGTAAATCTTAAAGGAGCAGAATGCCTCATCCTTCACCCTCAGAAAGGTTGGTGGGTTTGTACTGCTAACCTAGCAATCCAATGCACAACCCACTACGCCAAACTCAGTGTAAGGGTTTATGGTAGAGAAGCAAAGGTCGTATTTCTGATGTTTTCATTCCCCAGGCACTGTACCAGGAACGTTCCAGCAAAACCCTGCAAGATATGGAAGAGGGCTCTCAGTTTTACCTCTGGTTGAGTAATCTGAGTGAGGATTTGAGTCCAAGCCTGACCAATTCATCATCCCCCACCCTAACCACGGCATCTCAATCGTGTAAAGGTTTCTTAGGTGCCAGTTTTTTTATGTTTGTTTGTGTGTTTGTTTTTACTATTCAACATTTATTCTTGTATTTCTTTTAGATGGAGAACAAACAGAAAAAAGTTTCCACACAAGGTTCCTGTCAGCCACTTTATCACTGCAATGTGATCAGGTAAGATAATTACTAATGAATGGCCAACTGTAAAAAATAACCGATAAATGTTCTTTACATATGCGATAAGGTGTCTGTTGGAACAGAGGGATGGTGGGGACAATAACGTCAGGTAATATATTCCTCTCTGACTCCTGAAATGAGGCATTCGTTATTCAGAGGTAGAAATCTCAATTTCCACCAGAGGGACTCTGGTTTTAATGCCTGGCCAATCACTAAACCATCAGTGATGTTTTGTTAAGATTCTACACAGGTCCCCTAGACGAAGCCAGACTAACAAGCCAATCCTGACATTCTATTTATAAAACGAGCCAAATGCTCACGGAGATGTCACAGGACCATACAGTTTATGCTGTTGTCCATGTGATTACCATGAGCTGGGGCCAACTATGTGGTAATTAACAACAATGATCACATGGTTCCCGCTTCTGTCATTACTCGTAAGAAGCAGTTGATAATCATAGATCTGTTCTCTACTTACTGTTCTCTGTTCTGCTTAAAATCTAACAGAATTCGGTTAATGCAAGCGTTTTACCTGGTTGATAACAATTATTTTCTCAGCTCCACATTTTCTTTAGTACACTCTTTATTGTGTTGCTGAAGTGATTCATATGCACTATTTTTGGTCACAAGAGCAGTAAGATGTGGACCCTTGATCCTCTCTATGTCCCAAGCATGGCTCCCCTTCATTTCTGGGGGAGAGCCATCCAATTTTCACTCAGATAATAGGATGCATTCCTGGCTTAGATACTGGGACCAATGAAGTCACCAAATCCAGGACTAAAATTTGGAAACAAAACTTCCTGAAGTGCATATTTTAAAACACACTATGAAAAGACTTCTGGGTCTGATGGTTCTTGGTGATATCCCCAAAAGCTTTCTCTAAATACATTGGTAAAATGTAAAAGTCTATCTATAAACAAGAGCATAATTTTAAGATCCCATCTATCTTAATATTTTAATTTTATTATTATATTAATTCATGACAATACAAATTTCAAAATTTAGGTTTTTCAAGAACGAAGACAAAGAAGCACGAAAAACTATTAACAATGGTAGATTCTAATATTTGTTTTGAGCAAAGCATTATGCTAAAATCTTTTTTTTTATGAGAGCATTTCCTTTATTATTATTATTTTATTTTTTGGGGGGGCTCTTACATTTCTTATCACAATCCATACACTCCTCCAATGTGTCAAGCACATTTGCCACCATCATCATTTTCAAAGCATTCTCTTCCCACTTGAGCCCGATATCAGCTCCCCATTTCTTCCCCCCGCCCCGCCCTCCCTTCCTCCCTCATGAACCCTTGATAAGTTATAGATTGTTTTTCTATATCTTACATCATCCCCACTCACCCACTTTTCCATTATTTGTCCCCCTGGGAGGGGGTTTTAGATTGATCCTTGTGATCGATACTCCCTTTCTCCCCCACCCTCCCCAAGTCCTCCTGGTATCTCTACTCTCCTTGTTGGCCCTGAGGGGTTTATCTATCCCGGATTCCCAGTGTTGTGGGCTCTTATCTGTAGCAGTATGCATGCTCTGGTCTAATCTGACATGTAAGGTAGTATTGAGGTCATGATAGTGGGGTGAAGGAAGCACCAAAGAACTAGAGGAAAGTTGTGTGTTTTATCAGTGCTATACTGCACCCTGACTGGCTCATCTCTTTCCTGTGACCCCTCTGTGATGGGATATCCAATTGTCTATAGATGGACTTTGAGTCTCCACTCCATGCCTCCCCTCATTCACATTGGGTATGATTTTATTCTGGGTCTTAGATGCCTGATCCCTGATCCCATCAATATCTCATGATCACACAGGCTGGTGTGCTTCTTCCATGTGAGCTTTGTTGCTTCTGAGCTAGATGGCTGCTTGTTTATCTTCAAGCTTTTAAGACCCCAAACGCTGTATCTTTTGAGAGCCGGGCACCATCGGTTTTCTTCACCACATTTGCTTATGCACACATTTTATCTTCAGTGATCGTGTCAGGAAAGTGAGCATCATAGAATGCCAGATTATTAGAACAAAGTGTTCTTGTGTTACAGGAAGTACTTGAGTTGAGGCCCAATGTCCATCTGCAACCTTAATTCTTAACATATAGATATGAGTACATAGTTCTCTATTCTCCTCTCATTATATATATATTTACATATATACATGCCTATATTTAGGCCTCTATAAATGTCCTTTGCCTCCTGGTTCTTTCCTCTATTTCCTTTTTACTTCCCTCTTGTCTCACCACCATGTTCGGCCTTCATTTGGGTTTAGTAATTCCTCGCTGCTACATTGCACTTGAGTGAACCCCACTAGGCATCCTATGACCTTCCTTCCATTGATTTTAGGCACTTGGTGTTCCCTTGTCCCTGGGTTGGTTACCCCCCATTTCCTTTCTCCTACCTCCCCTTCTCCCATATCCCCCCGGAACCATTGGTCCCCTTCTTTTCATCTCCTAATTATTTATCACGCATATCTTATCTAGATAAACTAGGTGCCAGTTTTCAATGGTATCTGTATCTCAACTGTGCAAGCTGAGGACACCGTTGGATAAGTAGTCGTTGGGTTGGGGATGCTATTAAACTTTTGAAAGCATCGCCTCGTGCTCTTTACACAGGAAGAAAAGAGATGAGGTAATTATCCAGACCAAGGTTAAAAAAAAGAAAACAAAAGATTATGGTTGTAGAAAGACCAGTCCCTGGAGAAGGGCACCATGCTTGGTAAAGTAGAGAGCCAGTGAAAAAAGAGGCAGGCCTTCGACAAGATCGCTTGACATCTCGGTCGCCACAATGGGCTCAAGCATGGGCACCATGGTGAGGGTGGTGGTGTTCTGTTCTCGACAACAACATGTAAACCAGGTGAGAGGACGCGTGGGGTACATTTGCATAGTTTTTCAAGTCTCTTACCTGAGAACATGGAAGCAACGACACTTCTGAGAATAAAGACGAGTCCCTTTGAGTGCGAAAATGTCCCCAACAGTGTAATTACAACAAGTAAGAAAAGTTTAATGCCCTTATGAAAATGTTCTCCCCCTGCCCCCCCTGGCCCCCAAACATTAAAGGTTAAGGAAACATACCTTTGAATTGAAGGTAACATATTTTGGCGTACATGCGTCATAATTTGTTAAATTAGCACTTGTTAGATTTGTTGGACTGAGCTCTGAAACGCTGCAGGGAATTTGAAATTTCTTATATACAACCTGACATTGGGGGAGAAAAAAAAGACAGGAGAAACATTATAGTTTATACCTATGCACAAAGCCAAAAGATTTTTTAAAATATAGTACGTGGCACTATACTCCGGCCAACTTAAATCAATCATTTCAATCCGCACTTACTTACCACTATCAGGAAAAAAACCATACAGCTCAAGGAGAATCCACTGGTGTAGCCCAGATACCCTAAAAAAGCACACACACACACAACTTAGTAAAAACTGGGGCTTTGAGAATAAAAATACTGTATTACATGTATGGATTCCAAGTCTGCTGGGCACATTCAGGAACACAGACAAAGAGCCTCCCGCCTTTACTCCTGGGCCTCTGTCACTGTCCTCTGGAGACCGTCTATGGGCAAGCCCATGCCCTTTTGGATCTACTCCTCAGCTCCAATGATGCACCTGCTGTATGCGAACTGAGAGCTTGCCAGATGGCAGTGTGCACAGAGGAGACAGAGTACATTTCCGGGGATGCACTGTGTCCATCGGGATCTCTACCTCGCTCCCCTTAGGAAGCCTGTGAGAGCTCTAACCAGCACGGAAACCACCAGCAAGACAGAATTAAGTGGACTCTGAAGGGCTGCATTATTTTCTTCCTGGGGTGTGGGGCCGGGGAAGGGGTCCTCTCTACCTAAACCACAAAGAGTTACTATAGACATGAGTAAGTCTAAACAGATTCAGAAAGCGGAAAATTAAATAGTTACAAAATATACATATAGGCATACATATATATATATCTTATAGACTATCTCCTGTGGTTTGATATTTTTCATTAAAAAAAACAAAACAAAACACTTTGGTTTGTGGTCATTTTGAAAGTGCCACCCCCACGTTTGATGTAATATGACTTCTCTCTTTTCTTTTTAAAATTGTGGCTTGGTGCCGAGTTTACAACGCCAAGTGGTTTTCCATTCAACAATTCATACCGTTTGGTTTCTTGACATTGATTGCTGTCCCCAAGCTGCAACCTCCCTCTTCCCAATTCCTCTCTGTAATCCATATTTCTACTTTGCATTAAAGAGCATGCATTTTAGAGGCTTTTGGTTGGATAGCAGTGTGACCTCAGTATTCTACCACAGTGTGAAATTCCCTAAGCATCAGGTACAATGCTTGTCTCCAAATACACAGCACAAAAACTGTGTCAAAACCAAATGGAATAGCACTGAGGAAACACGCAATATTCCTCTGGTTCACCCCCACATCATGCCCCCAGCTCTACCTTACAAATCCGGCCAGACCGGAGCATGTACATTGGTACAGTTTAAGAGCTCTCGACACACGGAATCCAGGGCAGATAAACCCTTCAGGAACAGTAATAGGAGTAGTGATACCAGGAAGGTGGGGGGAGAATGGGGAAACCAATTGCAATCATCAATGTATAACCCCCACAAACACACACCAGGGGGACGAACAACAGAAATATGGTTGAAGGGAGACCGGATGGTGAAGATATGAAAATAATAATAATAATTTATAATTTATCAAGGGTTCACGAAGGTGGGAGGGTGGGGGGAGGATGGAAGAAAGGGGAGCTAATACCAAGGGCTCAAGCAGAAAATGTTTAGAAAATGATGATGGCAACATATGTACAAATGTGGTTGATACATTATAATTGATGTATGGATTGTTATAAGAGGTGCAGGAGCCCCCAATAAAATGATTTTTTAAAACCCCAAATGGATATGGCTAGAAATTATCCACCATTTCCGATTTTTGACTTGTCTTTCCCCCTAAGTAAGGCAAATCATTGAGCCTGGTGAGACACGATCCATTCAGGAGTGATTCATGACAATTTTGAGCATGGATATAAGCAATTTTCTCCCTTTGCCCCAGATTTGAAACCCCATTTATCTCTGGATTTAAGATATTGTATGAAGAGAATCCATTTTCTGGACTTTTCTAAGCACACCTGTGGGCTGTGCTATTAGAAAGGGTCTTTTGCTGGACCGTGGGTAAGGCACGTGGCTCGTGTGTTGGACTGCTAACTGAAAGGTGGAGCCTCAAGGCCACCAGGAGGTGTGTTGAGAGAAAGGTCTGGCGAGGCACTTCTGGAAAACCCTCTGGGGCACACCTCTGGCCCAGAAGCACCCCCTCCTCGCCACCCCGTCCCCAGCAGAGGGCTTGCTCAGGAAGGCTCACACGGAAGAGTGGTTTCTTCCCATATTTAAGACAAAGCAGATTAATACTTGTCATTTATCGCTCACTTCCTCTTTACCCTCGAAGTGGAAGCAGAAGACAGAGTTGTTCATTGATACCAGGTCTCTGATTCATCAGGGCACTGTAGAGACTGACAAAACCAACATCATTCCTTACCTAAGTTCTTCAAGAGACACAGAGGGAGAATGATGCCAAAGGTAACTATTACCACCAGAATGCGGCCATCCACATACCAGGCTCTGAAAGGCATTTAAATAGATGTCATATTTTCTTAGAAAGTGGCCTTCCCTGATATCACCCCCGGCCATATTTAAAAATCTTATCCTAGATTTTCATTCATTTCTCACCCATTCATACCATGATGATGATGTGATTTAAACCACCATTCGAGTTTCCTCCAAATACCTGAACCCAACCATTACTCATTCACTACTGCCTCGCTCCCAGGTGGTGGGAGAAGTGATACTGTGGCTCTCTCTCCTCCATCGGCTAAATGTGGCATTCCTTTGAATTCTTGAGGTGGTTTCAAAGTTGACTGTGCGCATTGCATTCTGTCAGATTGCCACATGTCCTGTCAATTACTTAGAGAGAGGGTTCCTTTTAGCTTTGCTTGGCTGGTACCAATCAGGAGTGGTCCCCCTGGCAGGCATTTCTGTCTCCCTGATGCTTTGGGCTTGCCCTTGGGTCCCAAGGATAAAACACTACATCTCCATGTTTTACTCTGCTTCTCCCTTGAAGCGAAACAGGGAAGCGAAGACCGACAGGAGCTGCTAAACAAGGGGGCGCTGCAACACAGCATGCGGCCACAGCACTGTTCGTCAGGGCTACTCCCAAAACCTACGTCCCATCCTCAGGAAAGAGATTAGGATCTTGATGTTTTGTTGTTGTGGCTGGATGTTCCATGTCTGTGTTAAAAATACACCTTATCTGTTCTACTTCACAGGAACAAGATATGGATTTCAGACTCTTGGGAAAATACAAGTATCTATCCTTTGCCACATGCCAGATAAATCTACCTTTGAAATGTTCATATTAAAAAATGTCTCCCTGCTTCCTTCATTTGGAGACAGAAGAAATCTATTGTGGAACGAACAAATAATGCAAGAAGCTAGCCTAGGGAAGGTTTTTGTTTCTGAAATTTTCACCAGGCACATACTTCGGTCTATTCACATGTAAGTTAAAAGCATGTTATATACACGTCTGTAACTTACGAAAATGCCTCTTCTTTTCCCATGAGAAACTTCAGGGCTGAGGGCAGCTCGTTTTTCACTATGAAGAGGTAGCTCAGCATGGCTGGTGGGAAATGAGAACATTTTTAGAAAGAGGATTCTATGGCTCAGGTTGCAAGCTATACACAGGTTACCAGCCAGACTCAGACTAATCTTCAGTAAGGTCCAAAGGCAACTTGAGACATGCTTTCAGTATCCCTAGTTTTAAATAAGTGTTTAGTGTTGGGCTCCTGTTCTCAAGGTCAGCAGTTTGAAATCACCAGCCACTCCATGGTGGAAAGAAGAGGCTTTCTACTTTCATACAGATTTGCAGCCTCGGAAACCCCCAGGGGCAGTTCTACCCTGTCCTATAATGTCCACAGGAGGCAGAATGGACTTGGTGGCAGTAAGAGGGACTCTCAACTTTACATTCCATGAGGATAATAACAGCTTGAATGATGAAAATTCATGTGGCCACCCAATCACCAGAATTGGAAACGATACACATGTTCACCTACTTTAAACTTAATGGCTACAAAACCTTGTTCTTCTTACCTCCAGTGTTCTGTAAGGAGGTGGCGCCAAAAATCACCAGCTTCCCTGCAGTACCAAACACTTGTTCGCCCAGCTTTTCGAAAACCATGCAGCCTGTTTAAAATCAAATTCGAGAGCATGAGAAATGATCAGGCTCGAAAAATGAACAGTCCAAGAATCAACCACTCTAGGGCCATTCTCTAGGCTAATTTGGGCCTTTTTTCCCCTTCTAAACTCACAGTCTCCTCTGGCTTTGCAGGGGTTAAGGTGGTTGCATCATAACATAACCTCTTGGCATTTGAAAATGTCAGATGTGACCACCATTTCTCCTTTATCAAGTTGGCTACAAAAACAGTTACACGACTCGATCAGAAGATTTGGGTTTAAGAGTTTCAAGTAGACTTTACTGGGGGAAAACTCCCACTTGGGTCTTATTCTCAGGTCTGGTTTCCACCAATAAAATGAAAGTTGGATTTTTTAAAAAATACACCCTGATGGTTGCAGATTGAAAGGTTACTCTTAATTACCTGAACTAATTAGGCTAACAAAGAGTTATCTTAACACCACCTCGGGAGTTGTTCCAAATATGATAAAAATCTAACACGACAGTGAAATTCTGGTCATTCTCTAAGATTTACTGTAAGGCTAAATGCAACTCCCCGGACACAATGGTTGCAAGAATAATTGGGGTGTACCCGAACCCCAAAGCAATCAAGGGGCACCTCTCAGCAACAACTGCAAGTCCAACCCATTTGTTATTTTTTTCAAAAGTGATTTAAATTTTTATGGCATTTTATTAACCCACTAGCTTCATGTTTTCAAAGGTCCCCAGGAAGCACTATGAGTCAGGCTAGAATTGAACCTTTGCTTAATCTCTTTAAAGACTGATATTTGGAACAACATATCAACCTGTGTAATCACGGGGTGTCGAACGGATCACTGAAGACAAATGGGTGCATAA